AACACCAAAAGTCCATTTGTACCCTTATACTGCAATACATGACTTTCACACCAAAGAAGATAATTTATATTAGTTTAATATTTTTTACTAACTTTGAGTAAAATCACTGAAGTGTGAAATGCTGTGTTCAAGACACTTGAGTTTCAACTGACATAGATGACTCTGGGTTTGTGATTGCATTTAACATGGAAAACAACTTGGAGAAGATTGTCATTGCTCTCAGTTGTATTTGTTGGTCCTAGTCTTGCAGTTACCACTGCTTGAATGTGTAAGGACCGTATTTTCAAACATCTGATCCATCCACTTTTCTTCTGGCTGACTGACGTGCCCATCCTCTTGTCAGCACTGTGTGCTGCTGTGTTATAGACCTTGCAAACAACTTTCATCAAAATAAGGACTCAGGTGGGCTCTGTAATTCAAGGGTTGCCACATGTTCGTTCAGGGGGAGGGAAGAGTCCTGTTTCCTGGCATGTCCCCATAAAAGCAAGCATAACTTGAGCCTTGACCTGTGGTTTCAGAATGTGCATTTCACTCAAGCCTTATGAATTGTCTTTGAGTGATCTTCAACGTGTTCTTCATGCAAAGACCAACTGTGACTAAGCAACAGGGTAATTATTCACCTGGGATTATAAAAACTTTCTAAAATCAGAAATATTTAGTAGAATTTAATATTTTTCAATGTGCAAATATCATTCTTGAACTCATCTTTCTGCTCTTAAATGTATTCCTGCCTTCATAGTAGCATTTCAGTTATTAATGAATTGAAGGGTTTCCAGTTTTTTATATTCCCTTTCATTTTTCTAGGTTATTCAACACAGAAACGAGGAGTGTGACCACATTCAGTTTTTAATTGAAGAGAAAGAGTCTAAAGAAGAGGACTACTATGAAGACCTTGATAGATTTGAAGAAAATGGTACCCAAGAGTCTCGCATCAGTCCCTATACTTTCTGCAAGGCCTTTCCTTTCCACATAATATTTGACAGAGATCTGGTGGTCACACAGTGTGGCAATGCTATATACAGAGTCCTTCCACAGGTTGGATGATTCTCATGCATGAATAGTCATAAAGATTTCTAATACTAGATGCTTCACAGGTTTAGTTTAAAGATGAATAAAATAGATTTAAGATTTTCTCTCTAAACATCATTCCTTTGCAACTGTATAATTTTTACTACATTGTACTTCTCTTGTTTGGAAAAGGTCTGTGAAAATAGCCCTAACTCTACAAGAGCTCTGTTCCTTGTGACTGTGTCTCCGTGTTGAAAATAAGCTTAAGCAGAGAAAACCAGAGCACCCCCACAATCCAGGTGTTCGTTTGATACCTGATTCTTTGTTGTGGTCAGTGCACCTTGGCCTGGGTTCATAAAATGGTCTTGCCCATGCCACTGTATAGTGTAGCAGCAGGCACATAGTCTATATATACTACCTGACAGTTATGCCTTCAAACACTTAAGCTGTCAGATGATGCACAATAACTGAAGAGCAGAGTAGGAGAAGGTGTAGTATACTTTGTTGGCTTGTGCATCAAAAGCATCAGGACTAAGATTAGCCAAACTATTTTTGTGATATATTTATGTGTGTTCTGAACTGAATGCAGCTGCTGCAATTTCCTCTGGTTATTTACAGTAAAAGGGTACTCAGAGGTCCATTTAATGTTACATATTCTGTGTATGAAGAGGGTGCCTCAGTTCCTGCCTGAAAGAGCTGACACTGTTTCTAAAAATAAGCAACAGGCAAAAGCAGTAATACGCGAGAAGCAAAAGGTGTGATGATGAAAACATCACATGATCTTTACAGTTATGTGCACTGCTGTTGCACATACCGTGTTGTTCCTGAATCATTAACATACTTTTAAAATGCAGGTTTATGTTGATTTTTCCTGCCATTTGTTTTTGGTGATTTCTTTCTGAATTTTGTGGAAAGATTTAAAAGAAGAGCTTTGTAGTTAGCACTGTTGGATTTTTCCCAGAGGCAGTCACTGAACAGCCATAGCTAACTATTCAACCTGCTGAGGATGGCTACCAGAATCCTTATTATCAGACTGATGCTTTAGAGAACATAGCTTATTGAAAAGGGTGTTTGAACGAGGTCACTTAGAAAACAGTGGAAAGCTTGTTTTACTAAGGAGTGGGAACAGTTTGACAGATAGCAAATGTGATAGTCTTAACACCATTTTACAAGGTCATCTTGCAGACTAGAATGGCACTTTAAAGTCAGTACATGTCTAATGTAAAATCCTTAATTTTAAAACCTTGTCTTTTATTGGAGAAATGCATAAAGTTTATATTTTCTTCCTTTGAATATTGTCATCTAAGCAAATTGAATATAATTACTTCATATATATTTTTATTATAGATAATTTTTTTTTTTTTTTAAATTCTAGCTGCAACCAGGCAATTGCAGTCTGCTGTCAGTTTTCTCTTTGGTCCGGCCTCATATTGATATTAGTTTCCATGGGATCCTCTCACATATCAATACAGTCTTTGTACTGAGAACCAAGGTAACGAGAGAATATTTACCTGGCTTTTGTTTAAGTAAGTATGCTTTGGAGAGATAAGTGCTGCAAACTCAGAATTCTTCAGAGAAAATTCTTTGCACAGTAGCAAGCCCAGTCCTTTGAAAAGTCATTTGAATCTTCAGTCAAGAAAAGGTCACGGGTGTTAATTCGTGTGTGTCTGTTAAGCAGAATGCTTTCTAGGAATGGCGAAGTACATATACTTCAAGTCTGATCCTTTCTTTGCAAAGGGCCAACCCATTGGATGGCATTGTATCAAAGTAAACATAGAAAGACTTTTGATTCATAACTATGTGGGAGACAAATATGAAATGTGTTCTTACTTGGACCCATGTGTTCATACAGAATTCTGTGTACCTTTTCTCTAGAGGGGGTAAGAGAGGTGGTCTGTGATACAAATGAATGCAGCATGTAGAGTAGCACCTACTATGTCAACGAGCCTGTTTATTTACAGAAAACTGTGCCTGAGAGAAACCAACAAGATTTCTTAGAGATGCTCCCAGGCACAGGTAGAACGTCATAGAAAGGCAATGTTAAGAAGTGGTGCAGATTGAAACGAGAAGTTATGAACATGGCAACAGTAAAGAAATATACAGTGGTCTATATCTCTGAGGTAGCAAATCACAGTATTAAAATACAGGTAGTGTATGGTGTTTAAATGAGAAATCAGTTGGGTTTTAGTGAAGACTGTAACTATTCCAAACATTCTGCCAGCCTTCATATTGAAGGCACTTACACATGTGGCCTGGTGCATAACACATGTACCATTGCCCTTATATAATTGTGACTTTTCATCACCAGGAGGGGCTGTTGGATGTGGAAAAGCTGGAGTGTGAAGATGAACTGACTGGCACAGAAATCAGCTGCTTACGGCTGAAAGGGCAGATGATCTACTTGCCTGAAGCAGACAGCATTCTCTTCCTCTGCTCGCCTAGGTACTTCAAACCTGAAGAGTTCTAGAATATTTATTTTCATTTTACAGTTGCTAAATTTAAGCACACTTAAGAGAGTACAACAGATTGGTTCAGGTACTGATTAATTGGTTTTGATGTGTTTATACTAAAAGAGGGAGGAGCATTTAAACATCAGAACTTGAATGATTATTAAGTAATTCGGTATAAACAGTGGGATTCTCTGGACCAGTTTCTATAAATGGCATTTCCTCATTCCGTGTTTTTTGGCAAGGTTTGTCCTTTGTTTCCTACTCTGGGAGTGTTAAGATATGCCATAATAGTTTGGTTTCCTATGTGGATTCATGTATTTTTGCAGCAGTCCTAGTGTCATAGAGCAGTTACGATTATAAAGAAGTGATTGGAATGGAGGGTTGAATGGAGGCTGAGAGAGTTGGGATAGTTCAGTCTGGAGAAGAGAAGGCTTCAGGGAGACCTTATTGTGGCCTTCCAGTGTCTGAAGGGGGCCTACAAGAAAGCTGGGGAGGGACTTTTTACAAGGCCTGGTAGTGGTAGGACAAGGGGTAATGGCTTCAAACTGTAAGAGGATAGGTTTAGGTTAGATGAAAGGAAGAAGTTCTTCACTATGAGGGTGGTAGCCACCGGAACAGGTTGCGCAAGGAAGTTGTGGATGCTCCACCACTGGAGGTGTTCAAGAGCAAGTTGTATGGGGCCTCACACAACCTTGTCTAGTGAGAGGTGTCTCTGCCCATGGCAGGAGGGTTGGAGTTAGACAGTCTTTTAAGATCCCTTCCTACCCAAACCATTCAAGGATTCTATGATTCTTTAGCTCAGAGTATGTTAAGCTAGCACATTGGATTACACAGTTATGGTACTTTAAGCTTCTGTATGAAAAGGAGAGAATCAATGAAGACAGAAAAAGAAGGCACACCTTTAATGTAATCTCACTTTTATTTGTGTGCTGAAGTATTCGTATTTGATAAGTTCATGGAACTCATAAATGAAAATTCTGTATTAAAATGGAAAAATCAATAGCCATGTGTTACCATGAATGAACACAAATAAGGTATTCAGTAGAAGGGATATGTTGTATAGCTCACACAAGTTTGGAAGCATAATCTTGCTTCTGTTATTCAGCAGCCTGTACTGTTCATATGAGTTTTAAAAGCTCTTTTGGCAGGTTTATGGTACCCATATTATCTATTTCTTCACATTGTAGTGTGATGAACTTGGATGATTTAACCAGAAGAGGATTATATCTGAGTGACATTCCATTGCACGATGCTACCCGTGATCTGGTTCTGTTGGGAGAGCAGTTCAGAGAGGAATATAAGCTGACTCAAGAGCTTGAGATCCTCACTGACAGATTGCAGCACACACTGCGTGCACTGGAAGATGAAAAGAAAAAGACAGACACGTAAGAACCAAATCCTGATTTTGAGCTGAAACAGTCATAGCAATATATTATTTATAGCTGCCTTCTTCAAAAAATAACAGAATCATGGAAGAAATACAAGAGTTATTCAGGGCTGATAATTTTCAAGTTAAGAAAGAGCATTTTACTTTAACACCTCATAGAGTGTTTCTTCAGTTAGATTGTCAAATGTCATCTGCACTGTCTAGGCTGTTACATGCACAGGTGTTTTGATGGCTCCTTCCCTGATAAAGAAAGTTATGAGAAGTGAACAGACAATCCTTTTTGCTTTGTGAATTACCAAAAACAGTAGTTTTGCAGACTTTGTTACATTCAATCCCTGCAGCCAAGATGAATTTGATGAATGCCTAAGTGCTACTGTTTGACCGAGTTCTGTAAACCAGCTGTAGATCACTTTTGTGTTTCCAGATGGCCATGCTCACAGGTTGATAGAACAGAAAAACATCAAAAATATTCTGTGTAAAGGTGAGATTTTTCAATAGGCTAATGCTATGTATTTACAGTTACCTGTAGATGTGGATTTGGAGCTATCTAGGTAATACTACTATCTAGATATAAGTACATAACAATAATAAAGTATATACATTGGGCCCCAAACCAACATCTACAGGTAACTATAAAATGAAATTCGAAGCATTGGTCTATGGAAGCTTAGCTCAAGGACTACTGGCAGGTAAATGAAAAAAAAGTTTGAGTGACAAGCAGTATGGGGTTGATGGTTGACTCTCATTTATAAAACATAGTTCCCATCTCTGTAATAGAAGAATTCCTTGTTGATTATGCTTTTTTAGCAGCAGAATTAACATTTGTTGTGCAAAAAAATTCTATTGACTTTTTTTTCCTGTAGTAGAGCAATGGAAATTATTTTTAAAAGACTTGAAAGGGATGGTTGTAAGAGTCAGAGAGAAAAGAAGGGGTTTTTATTATTATTTGTTCCTGTTGTCTTGCTTTATAAAGTCATTTTGTCTTCAGGAATTTTAGACTTCTTGGCAGCCAGAGGAAGAATGTCAGTTACTGTACCTTGTGCCAACAGTATTCACTAATTATAACTCATGCAGTAGTGAACTTGCCAAAAATGCAACTAATGAGAGTTTGTGCAGGAGGCTGTGTACAAAATGATGCTCAAGATTTGTGAAACAGTCAGAGATCTTCAGCTTGCTCACTTTGCTGTGTAAGGAGGGAAACACACCTTGAGATGGCAGTTAGAAAGTTGAAGTAATACACATGAGAGTAGGGTGAAGCTCTTTGTGTTTGATTTGGATTTTATTTGCATTATTGGTAATATGAACAAGTGTTAAAAGCTCATATAGACTACTAATGAAAAAAAAAAACCATGCAATAAACCCTGAAAGCAGCATTCTCAACAGAAGAGGAAGCATTTAGCAATGCATGGATTGCATTCAAAGGTAGAAAACCTTGATCTCTCCATGGCCTTCTTTGCAGTTTTTATGTTTCTGTGAGCAAAACCAGATTATATGAGGTGAGGATATGGCACAAATACTTAAGCAATAAGCAAAAATGATCTAAGACACTATTAGCAGATCGTGTCAAAAGAATTAGTAATGTATGCCTAATTTTGTTGGTAATTCAGAGGTATTAATGTATGTTTGAAATGTCATGGCTTTAGGTATGGTAGTTTCTGTTTTCTTAATAGCATATTGTTCAGTTAACATCTTTTTGTGTTCCTGTTTGGTGATGTGAGCTTGTCATACACGCTGTGGGAGGTACTAAGTTAGTGTTTGAAGAGTGCTGATGGAAAGAGCTTTCTCCAAATTTTGTTTTGCTTCTGCCTTTTTCTTTTGACACATTTAGATTGCTGTACTCTGTTCTACCACCATCAGTGGCAAATGAGCTGAGACACAAGCGTCCTGTTCCAGCCAAGCGGTATGACAATGTGACCATCCTCTTCAGTGGCATTGTTGGATTCAATGCCTTCTGTAGTAAACATGCCTCTGGAGAGGGGGCAATGAAGATTGTGAATCTTTTAAATGATCTTTACACAAGGTTTGATATTCTCACTGATTCAAGAAGGAATCCATTTGTTTATAAGGTAAGCAGAAGACCTTCAAAGTACTTAATCTGTGACTTTTCAATAATTTACTATCATGCCACTCTTTTCCATCCTTTGGATTTTTTGCTTTAAAAAAAAAATGGTTATGTTATCAGTCTTTGAACTCTGATACTACATAGCTAAAGAAGATTATGTTGTTTATCTCTAAATGTCTGAAGGAGCATAAAGGCCTTAGTAGGATTTCTGCGTTTACCCATTAGGTGGATATAGAAATCTACTTCCATGTTTAGCAGATGGGAACACTTCTTCAAGCAGTTTGTGGATATGCTGACCCTTTGCTTTAGGTTCTTCAGTCATCTACCTGGCTCTCCTGGTTGTAAAATACAACTTACTGTTCAGTTACTCAATATGAATTCCATTCCTTCATTAGGAATGAGGTGTAGTTTCAGATGGGCTGGTAGCAGGTGGATACGTGTATATCCCATTTATATACACACGTCTATGCTTTTGTATTTATATATAAGTTTTATTCATAGATTTTAGTAGAAATCCATTTTATGTCCTGTACCAAGTGAGTTGGGTGTGAGTCAAAACAAACACACATGTTTAGTTTCTACAGAAATTCAGAAGACCCCAGACAAGAGGCTCAAGTTCACACAATCACAGTGTCATTTTAACTTTTTACATTGTGGGTGTGAAGTAAATTCTCTTCAATAACAAGAAGAGATGAAGGGAATTAGGGCAATTTGAATGGAAGGGAAACTATCTGAAAAGACAAGCAGCCATGAAGGAAGTGCTACATCCATTGATAATAAAGTAATTAAAGCCCATGATAATAAAGTAATTGAAAAATCTGTATCTTGATAGGTGGAAACATACATCCATTCTAGTACTCTAAAGCCCATGATAATAAAGTAATTGAAAAATCTGTATCTTGATAGGTGGAAACAGTTGGGGACAAGTATATGACAGTGAGTGGTCTACCAGAGCCTTGCATTCATCATGCACGATCTATCTGCCACCTGGCACTGGATATGATGGAAATAGCAGGCCAAGTTCAAGTAGATGGGGAGCCTGTACAGGTTAGTAAATGTGTGTGCTTAAATGAAGAGCTTATCCTTTGATATGATGTAATGCTTTGAAATATGCTAATGCTCCAATCCCAGTCCTTACAAGCTTTGTTGTTGTTAGATTTTGATCTGCAAATAATATGAAGAGACACACGTAGATGTGACATGTGCTATTTCCAGACCTCTAAAATGTAATTACTATACTTAACCTTTTAAAGGACAAAATTAGGTCCAAATGATTTATGTTTGTTTTCCAATAGTTTAAATCTGATCAACAATTTCCCATTGTGCATCAAGTACAATTCATTGAGTCTTCTTCGTCTCGATGAACAGAAAAATACTATTCTCTCACTGGTATTTTTGATAACGCTTCAGATCCTCATGTCAGCCTGAGAATATACTACATTAAAAAGTACAGTTCCATAGGTAGTTATGACAACAGTTGCTGGCAACAATGTGTACTAGTATACTAATTGTGGAATTCTATGAAGATTTTGTGGTATTGATAGGGAACTGGGGAGGCTGCATTGACCTGTCCTCATCAGAAGTCTGTGAGAGCAAAATAAGTATTGAGTGTGATGTATATTACTATTTACATAGATGTTATTGGTCTGACACCTAGCTTAGATCTGTGTACCTCACTTTGCCACAGGGCAGGTAAGTAAGGTTTGTTTTGGGGCTTTACAATAACTGTCATGTGCTGTAAGAATGAGCTTCTCCAAACTCCTGTCCTAGCTCTTGAGCTTTTAAATGCAAAATACCATGATGTTTCCTCTGAGAAATATAGTTTTTTCCTGAGTTACACCATCCATTTCTGCATTTTCTGAGCAGTCATTAAACACAGACCTTTCAGAGTATGCCTCTCTTTTCACTTTTTTGAAGTTCACAGTATACAATAGTAGAATATGATGATGCATGCTGGAAAAATACAGAGTGTATTCTTTCATATGGAAGGCAGAGCCATGGGACTGCACTACAATAAAAAAAGTGACACAAAATGCAAGGCTTTGAAGAAGGAGGAGTGGTACATTTTAAAAATAAACTCTAGTAGATAGAAATTACATAATATCTGTATTTAGTCAGAAGCATCAGATTAGTTAAGTTAATTTTGAATATTCAAACTTTTATTTTTTCTCTGTAAAGATAACAATAGGAATCCATACTGGTGAAGTTGTCACAGGTGTCATAGGCCAAAGGATGCCACGTTACTGTCTCTTTGGAAATACTGTCAATCTGACAAGCAGAACAGAAACTACTGGAGAAAAAGGAAAGATCAATGTCTCTGAATATACTTACAGGTGAGTGATGCAGGATTTTTATTGGTGTTGACATCTTAAATCATTTCATCAGCATAACATCAAAGTGTCTGCAGAGTTGAAAGTGACAGGACTTCTGCAACACATTATTTAAGTACAAGAGTTCTCATGAAACTGTGTGGCAGACTGCATTGTGATATACTGTTATTGATATGCAAATATAATTATGAGAGGTAGAGTTAACTCTTCTGTTAATTTGCTCACCTATCTGTAGCATGTATAATATTTTATATGGCATGCATGCATAGTGCATACATTTACATGTTTTCTCTTTCAATTTCAGGTGTCTTATGACACCAGAAAATTCAGATCCTCAGTTCCACCTGGAGTACAGGGGTCCAGTTTCTATGAAGGGTAAAAAAGAACCAATGCAGGTTTGGTTTTTGTCCAGGCAGAATACAGAGACAGAGGTATGACTAACCAGAATGTTGTTTTGGTTTTTTTTAAACAAGACATAAACATGACAAATTGAATCTAAACCACTGAGATCTATTTGCATTTGCAAAACTAATTGTTCCCTAGAAAAAATGAAGAGTTTTGTACAACACTACTTCATTAATACATTTACTATCTTGACAGCACGTGAAGTCCTTGATTATTTGTCTTTGCAGTTTATGCAGTCCCTGAAAGAATACTTCTGTATTTTAAAAAGTCCTTGAGGGAGTGCCAAGTGTTTGAATATTTATATCTCCCTCTTCTTACAGATTTCTCCACTGTACTAGATTTTGCAATATAATGTCCATTTCTGTTTAGCTGATGTGTCTGGTTATCAGCACTTCAGAATTCACCGTTTATTTTCATACAGTGAGTGAATAAATGTGCCTTCAAATATTGAGGCAACAGTCCAGCAGCTGCTTGCAGGCAGGTTCATACCGATGTGTATGGTGATCTGTTAACCCCAGCTGGATCTGCTTGTTCAGAGACTGTTGCATGAGAGAGGTCTTGATTTAGAAATACACAGAATGAAAACTATTTCTTATAAATGAGATAGGAGCCTAAATCCTCTTCTCAAAGTGATGCAGGGTAAAGCTCTCCAAGCACCGAGTGGTCTTTAAGCTTATGCCTCAATTTTAGAAGTCTGAGCATGTATTAACCAAAATCATATTAAAAGCCAATGAGGTCTAGACTCATAAGTGTGCTAAAAACTTAACACACATAATCAGGTTACAGTTTACCAGCTTATTTGCCATAGCTGAGCAGGTGCATACATCCACCCATTACCAACATGGAAAAAAAAGGATAAAAGTAATTTACGTAGCTTGAATTTTTGTCCTGAGGTAATAAAAAAACCAACCAAACAAAGAGTTTTAAGCTTATGTATTTAGTATTTAAAACAGACCCAAGTAAAATAATGAAAGTCATCAGTTACCTCGGCTGAAATAATTCTTGTAAGTCCCAGGCAATTAATTACACATCTGAATACTCATGTGCTTCTGAAAATGAGATTCAGGCTGTTAAACACTTTGGGTTCTTCAGGAGGTCTAATCCAGATTGATTACCACTGGTACCCAAGTATATGAATACTGACTTTTTAATGGTAACTCTTGAGTATTAGCCCCCAATATTAAAGTTCAGAGGAGAGCCTGTACTTTAATTCTGCTGAAGTCTGTATTTTAGTATATATTACTTACAATAATATTCTGGGAGCCACTTTTGATAATACTTTCCTGTTTTTACTCTATATCAAAATTAACTATAATTTCACATGGCTACCATTATTTCAAAAATATAGTTGTTTTTGAAATATATTTTGATTAAACACCTTTCACTTTTTTATGCATTATAAATTATGTCCTATCATTTATAGCAGTGCACATTGTAATTTTAAATGTAAAATTTCAGAGAGGTACTGTGTCAGGTGGTTATTTTCCTTATTTAAACTTTATATGTTTAATATGAATAAAGGGTTTAGATAGTTTAGAATTTTAAATATAGCAATTTTCTTTTAGAGATCTTGTACAACGGTTGGTTTTGTTAGTCCTCATAGCAGTCCTGAGAGTTACTTGCTGACGCTGTTACCAAGTAATCAAGCTTTGTAAAGGGGGACATGAGGGCAGGAATAAAGGTGTCAGAAAAATACTATCAGACAGATTTTCGGGAGCACTTAAGACTCACAGTATAAGCACACTCAAAAAGTTTCTCTAGTTTTTGTTAGTTTTTGTTAATTCTGAAATTCAGATATATATATAATTTTTATAGTTAGAAGGACTTCTCCCATCACAGCTTCTCTCTTCTAAATTGTAGTAAATTTGGGAGAATAGGAGACTAGAAAGACACATTCATGTGGTAATTGGCACTGATAATAATTTTGTCAGAGGTGATTTTGAAAAGCAAAAGAATATAATCCTCTAATCTTCTATTTCTTTTTCACTTCCTGCACAATTTAATCTGTCCATACTCAAAAAGATGCACTGAGTTTTACTGCTTTAAGATTTTCTAAACTGTTTGCAGTTTCTTTTTGTCTTGTGAAGGTACTCATCATGTTATTTCTAGCACTTTACAGGCTCTACATAGTAGTCAGAATCCAAAAGCAGAAATCAGATAATCAAATTTTTATGTTTGATTATCCTAGAGTAATTGCTTTGCATTAGGCAAGGGCGTAGTTTTGGTTTTCTTTTCAGAATCTTACTCTCTCTGACGTTTCAAACACATACATATGCTAATTTTTTAACACATGTAGTCCCATTAATTTCAGGGGCACTGTTGGTAGCAATAAAGATGGTGTGTTAGCTTATATTCAGAAACTACTTGGTACATTGCCTGAAAGGCCACTCGAGAATATTGAAAGAACTGGCTTATAGAAGAAAATATTTCTTAAATCATCCTGAAGATATTTCTGCTGATTATTCTTTTTCTGTGAAGCTTTCTGTCTCCAATATCTTTAAATCTAGGATAGATTCACATTAATGATACATTCTACTTTTCATTATATCCCTTAGAGAGTGATTAGCTCAGAGAAGGGCAGTGAGGCTGGTGAGAGGGCTGGAAAACATGCCGTATGAGGACCCGCTGAGGGGACTGGGGTTGTTTAGTCTGGAGAAGAAAAGACTGAGAGGAGACCTCTGCTACTACCTAAAAGGAGGTTGTAGTGAGGCTGGTGTTGGTCTCTAATCCCAAATTACTGATGATAGGATGAGGGGAAATGGCCTCAAGTTGCACCAGGAGAGATTTCAGTTAGATATATAGGAAGAATTTCTTCCCTGAGAGAACGGTTAGGCACTGGAATGGGCTGCCCAGGGAGGTGCTGGAGTTACCATCCCCAGAGGTGTTAAAAAAAACGAGTAGATGTAGCACTTGAGGGCTATGGTCTAGTGGTTAGGGAAATTAGGAGGAACGTTGGACTTGATCCTGGAGGTTCTTTCCAACCATGGTGATGATTCTGTACTATTTTAACCTGAAGCCCAGTAATTAATATAGGGTGAGGAAAGAGGACAAAACATTTATAGCTGGCATAGAGATGTGAAACCAAGGCTTAAAATATGCAGTCTCTCTGCTAGACCTGTAGAAAATGGTAGGGTTGGAGCAGCTCAGCATACCTCAGACTTGGTTCCTAAGTTGACATCTCTAATATCAGTCACCGTGGCCAGCAGTTACTTCTGAGAAAAAGCTGATTTGCAAGAATCAGTGTCAGTTTGGAGTGCTGCTCCTTTATTTTTCCCACTGAAGATAGCTCTTCCGTACCATTAGAACAAAAATTAGAATTCCATCACTTATATACATCAAACAAAAGGAACTGTGACCAATTACTCGTTTTGTGTCTGCTTGTTTACGTGTTACAAGATTAAGTATTAGCATCGTTATTTTAACAGAGTTTCAGCTGCAGCTTCTCTCGAGACACAGATCTGTTGTTAAAAATAAAGCTTGCAAAAAGCCTCAGTTGTCTGACAGACATCATTCCCCATTTACAAATATCTTTCTCTTCTGCCTTATCCTCACATTACTGATGGGAAAAAGCTAAAGTCAGAGCTGGTAGTTCATCAGGGAATGTAGGAATTGTTCTGCTCCCACATACAACACCTACAAAAGAAATAAATGCATTACCTATGCTGTGTTCTGTTAGTTTT